ATGAACTTCAAAGCGGCTCAATTTGCATCAGGAAAATAGCAGAAACTTTTAAGAAGTTCTGAGAACTTCAGGGCAGTCAACATAACTTCAGAGATGTAGATGTAGGATTCCAAGTATTACTGAGATCGAATGACAGTTTCCATATCTTCCGGGAAGTTCCGAGAATTGCAGGAAAGTTCAGACTATCGGTGAAGTTTGAAGCGTAAGTGTAAGTTCCAAAACATTCAAATCAGTTCCATGAACTTTAGGAAAATTTCGAGAACCATAAAACAAGTTCATTAAACTTCAAAGAAGCCTAGAAAACACCGGGCAAAATAGCAGGAAGCTCAGCAAAGATCAGGAACTTCTGAAAAGTTTGGAAATTTTAGAAAATTTCGAGTACTTCAAGGAAGATCAGAGGACGATATTCAGAGTAGTTCCAACAATTGCAAGAAGTTTCATGGAGATCCAAGCAATTATGAGATATTCCGAGAATTTACTAAACTTCAGAGGAAAAATTTGACTTGTTTAGGTGAAGCATTTATGAAGTCTTCAAAACTTAAAGAAAACTACGTGAACATCAAGGAATATCAAGGAACTCAATAGAATTTAAATTAACTTTAGTAAAAGTACAGGGATTTTTAAAATAAATTGATACATCCAGGGAAGCCTAGAGCACTTAAGGGATGTTAAGAGATCTTTCTTGTAGTCTCAATTAATTGAGAATCTTAGAACGACATTTATTATTTCGATTTAATTTCAGATACATTGCGGGAACTTCAAAAATTCATAAAAATTTCAGGAAAAGTGCGGGAACTTCATAGAATTCCAAAAAGAAACAGGAAAGATCAGAAAACGTCAGGGAAATTCTGAGAACATCAGAAAAATTCAACAACATTTCAAAAGAAGTTTCGTAAGCTTCAGGAGTGTTTCGAGAATTGATTGAACGTCATAGAAGATCATTGCGAATCTTTTAATTTTATTAACATTGGAGAAATTCCAAGAGCTACAGGGAAGATCAAGGAGCCTTAGGTAAAGAAGTAAAGAAGTAAAGAAGTTTGTTACTAAGGGGTAAGACGAAGCCGCCTACTTGAACATAAACTTTACTTTCTCCGGATCATCCTCAAGTTTCTTCGGTGAAATGAACCGGTCTGTGCGGCTGTTGGACACAGCATCGATGCTGAACAGCTATTCGAGGATTATATTTTTTTTTTTCCTTCATAACAAGGAAAGCAATCTCGTACTTCCGCTCCGTAATGAAGTGGTATTTCACTCTAGCTCTCGAAGATGCGTGCAAGTCTTCTTTGATGATTTATAGCATGGAAATTTCAGAAATGTTGGCATCATTGGCAAGTTTACTGATGGAACGTACTGGATTGCGAGCCAGCTTTACACGGACCGCTGCTTAGGACCATCCTTTAGATACTTTTTAGCTTAGCTTAGACTGACTGCACATATCAATGGTTGCTACTTCGTGATTGATCAGAATCAGTGAAATTGTACAATGAATCAACTGAATGGGCCTGGAAGTGACCGTCCATTCTCATTGTGCAAGTTTAAGTGACTCCATATTTTGTAGATAAATAACAGCGCCGGCCAGGTCCTTGCAATCAGGTGGGAGTAAGGAAGGAATATTAGAGTGACCTTTGTTGTGTGTGGGCCCAACAAAAGACACAGGAAAGGAGATTTTGTTAGTAAGTTGGGTTCGTTGGATCAGGATTCACCTTGATAAGTGATGCGACTTGATTTTAAATGAATCAGTGTTATCATGCATTATACTTGGATTTGCCTAAAGCCCAAACAAAATGGTGGCTCATTATAATATAACGACGTTCCATCATCGAAAAGCTAAAAATAAACTTAGACCATGAGCATGAGCAAAATTGACCGTCCGCGACTACCAACACCAAAGAGCTGAAACCCAATTCGAACAAACGAGTGTTCACTCGGCTGTCGACAAAAGCAGGCCACTCTCGATGTGTGTCACGCGATCGTCTGTTTTCTCGGCAGCAACCATTGTGTGGTGCTCCTCATTGTTCTTCATCAGCAGTTCTTTCGGTCGATGCGTCGTCGACTTTGGAAAGCAACCGTTTCGTGATGACTGTGTGAGTGTTGACCACGTTTTGCGTCCATTGCTGCAATGGAAGCGCTTTGCCCCACGATGGCGTAACTGCCATACAATGAAACCACTGGAAGCGACTCCAGTTCTGATGGAGGAGGCTTTTTGAATAGCGGAAGATAAAGTGTATATTGTGGTGTACCTTTTGACTATAGTTTTAATATGTATTGTATAGTGACCAAGAATCTTCGGCTCTGTAAAGTTAATTCGTTTGAGCCTTATCAAATAAATCAATAAACAACAATTCAAACAAACAAAGTCAACAGACAAAACCAGGGTGAAAGCTGTAAGAGTGAATCATTACAGTATAAATCTAATGATGTTCCGTTATCGCAGAGCTGGAAGAAAACTTAAATAATTTAAATAAATAGATCCAGTCTGAATGAAGGCTGAAAAAAGAGAATAATTATACAGCAATGACCCCACTTTGTCAGCTAGCAAAGTATGTATATCTTAAACATCCATCTTGAAGGAGGAAGATATGAAATCACAATTATGTGGAGTTACTGAAAAATAACAATCTGATGCGCGGAGAGGCTGACAGGATTGGGTCATAACTGTAATGTGAATATTAGGAAGATTTATCATCATCAAACTATTCTTGAACTAACCTGGAAGAATGCTTGTGAATAATTGTTATACAGATAAATTAAATTGATAAACTAAATGGTTCAAACAACTATTCCAGCCTGTAGAAAAGCTGAAAAGAGGGAATCTTTACAATGTGGATCCTACGCTTTTCCACTATCGATGGGCTGAAAGTATTCAGTCTAGATCAATAGATTTAGCTATTTGAACCAAAGCCGGAAAAGAAAGAAAAAAATATACGAATCACTTCCGTCGTAGTAAAGATGTACCACATACCAAGCCTCGCACACACCGAAAGCTCCAGTAGCACCCAAAATAGTTCAGCGGAGGAACAACCTATCTTCTTATCATTCACTCTGTGTTCATTCACACCTGTGTATTGTTGGGGGCGACCCCGGCGTAGTGGTTAACATCCATACCTCTCACGCCAAAGTCACGAGTTCAAATCTCACCCCCGGACAAGTCACGAATAACCCAAGAGTGTTAAAATGACCATAATAAAAAAAAAAAAAAAAAAAAGAAAAACTGTGTATTGTTGTGATTTATGAAATAAATTAATTGGCGTTCATAAAAATAACTTTTTCAAATCTTCTTACCTTATCACTTAGGTCGATACTTGATTTTCCTCATTCTGTAATACGTAAGAGGACGATTTATATCCTTCTGCAGTTAAACAAAAACTATCGTCTCTGAAAGACTCTCGATAGAACTACACGATGAAAGCGTGACATCCGAACACGATGAACAGGCCTCTCAGGAGGAAATGCAATTCACAGGGACACTTACAACCGCTGATTACAAAAAACACAGCCGATCAACGAAACGGATCCAATAAACGTCACTCTCGTGAAAGCACACCCGTCGTCGTCGAACGGCAAAAAAAAAAGGAATCGGTGGGCAATTTTGTGATACGGAATTTCCACTGAAAATGAACCGGGAATGCACGAATTTCACCACACCCAACTGCGAAACACGTTCAAAAGCACTTTTGGAACACTTTCGATCGAAAACACTTAATTTTTTTCAAAAATAATTTCGAACGAACCAACATCATAAACTGAAATTTAAATTATCACTCGCGATGCCACAAATTTATCCGGGTCCGGGAGAAAAAAAAATCAAACAACGGAGACAGCGGTAAATCTTCTGATCAACCATCCTGTTGAGACTTTTTGATGCGATAAACTGTGGCCAAAGGACATCCTACCACCATGGCAATCTGCTTCGACGTCTTCTGGGTGCACCCTGTACAAACAAACCCCTCGATCCTTGGGGTTGTCGATCACAGTTTCTTGCCAGGTGTTTGCTAATCAAGAGTTCAAAGAATCAATCGTAATCGTATCTTAAGCTTTTTACGGGTTATTCACTACAAACTTTTAATGTAATTATTGAATTATTATTGAATTAATGGGTCTCCGCTTGTTTTCGGATTTCTGGAAAACATGAAGTTGAATTTATTTTGCAAATATGAGCACTAGTTTCATAGCTGGCACACTAACCCTAGATTGTTAGCTTTTATAAGCATATTTAGGCCATTTTGAAGGTTTTACGGTCGATTTGTTCTGACAACACCTGTATTAACTATGGGTCGCGAGCTTATGGAATCCTCTCAAAGTGAGTTGCAGTCAAGAAAAGTTAGAGAACCACTGCTTTATTATTTTTTTCATTTTCTTCACACCCCCCTCCATCGATGCTGGAGTGAATCAACGAATCGCCGAAGAGAACCGTTTCGAATTTCCATAATCCATGAAATATTAATGCGTACAGCGACAACGTAGTTTGGGAACGGGCGTTTGTTTTTTGTCGGTGGTACGGCTCGAAATTAAATTCCCCGTTGATTGTCGAATCTCGAATCGGCAATGGACGGGACGATGATGGTTGAGACGGTGGGAGGTTTCTCAGGCTTCAAATTGAAATGAAAACGGAAACTAATGTGTTATTTTTGATAATCAGCGAATTGGACTGATGGCTGCCAGGTTGAGTCTTTCTTTTTTTTTTAGAAAAAGAATTCCATTTATCTTTAACTATCTTGATGCTGCTGGTGATGATGATGATGGCTACCAAGATGGAAATGTTGATGGGAGAATTTTATGACTTGGCACAATTCGTCGTCGTTATGATGATGTTTTCCCCGATGTCCAAAACTTCGTTGTATAATTATGTTTTCGCTTCTCACAACATCATTTTAGTTAATTTTGATGGTTGTATTTTAATTTCTAATGCGGGCCCTCGGGTATCAATTAAAAACGGAGAAAGCTAATGATTTGCTCTGGTTGGTGAGCTACCGGTTCGTACAACCACAAAGCAAAAAAGCAAAACTAATGCAAACAGTATTTATTCCAGCACCTTAAAAACAACCTTATCGTTATCTTTCTGCAAAAAATGCACCTAATCTTCCACCTCCGTCATCTGGAACTTGAGGTCATTGACGGGAACGTTGATCAATGTTGCTCGGATTTCCAGCTCTCCGTAGTTCCATCGGTAATCAAACTGCCTAGTAATACGGGAGACGATCATCTCCATCTCCAACATGGCCAGCCGTCGGCCAATGCATGTTCGAGATCCGAATCCAAACGGCAGATACAAGAACGGATGAGCATCCTTGGCATTCGGATAGCCGTCTTCCTTGAGCCATCGTTCCGGTAGGAACTCCTTCGCTCGGTCCACAAATTGATTTTCTTGCATAAGGATCATGGAAGCCATTGCTACGTCCGTCTGAAAAAAAATGAGAACCGAAGTGCGTTACGATATCCAGTTGGTCACATCGTTAAATGTAGAAAATCGTACCCCTTTTGGAATCTGATAACCTTGCAGTACGAGATCTTTTCCGGCGGCTCGTACGTTTCCGGCAGTTGGTGGACACAACCGAAGGCCTTCTTTGATACAGGCACGCAAGTACGGTAGATTACGCATGTTTTCCGGTGTCAGCGGAGAATCTTTCTTCGGTAAGATCGTTCGCAGTTCTTCGCGCAGTTTGGCCTGTTTGTCTTTATTCGTGGCTAGAAGGTACAGAATTCCCGTGGTCCCAGAAGAGGTCTACATGTTCACGAAAACCATTAGAGAAGTGATCTAGCTTAACCTAAAACAAGTACCCACCGTATCAACTCCAGCGAGTAACATGTCAAATGCCATAACAATGGCAACTTCACGATTAACCTTCAACAGTTTCTCAAGCACGCTCTGTGTATCACTATCAGCCGATGGGTTCTTCTCCAATCTAACCACTGCTTCATCTACTTTGGCCATCACAATGCTTGAATGGAATTAAAAATCAAATTAATCAGAAGTTTCAGAACTCGCATCTGCAGCACCCACTTTGTCAAATCATCGAGAACGTTCATTAGTTTTTTGAAAGTTGGCGTCTTGTAGTACTTCCAAACGGACGGTAGAACATCCAGCTGGTATGTCAATTCGAAGAACTGCCGAATCTTCTTGACAATCAATTTCGCTTCCACGGATTGAGCATCTTCGAGAACTCCCAATCTGGTGTCCAGAGCCAGAACACCCATCGTTTCCAGTGCCCATCGATTCAACCATTGACTGAAATCCGCCGGAAGTTCGCTCTGGTCATCTCGAATTTTCACCATTCTAAACGACAAACAGTTGTTAATTCAAATCCACCAACGATGCATAATAACAAACATTTTCATGAATTCACGTGCAACGTCATCCAATTTGTCCACGTACAGTTTAATAATTTTGGGTTGCATCATCACTGGGTTTACAGTGGTTCGGAACTTTTGCCAGCTTTCTCCTTGTCTGAAAGGGTTTCACTTGTTAAAATCAGAATTTTCATGAGACGTTATTTGCTATATGTACTCTGTAACCAATCCACCGAGCCCCTTGAACACATCCGGACGAACGTGCTTCCGGTAGTAGACGAACGTATCGATACCACGTCGAATGGGCCACTGGCCTTCGTTTCGAAAAAGCATCTCAAAATCATCCGGTCGGAAACTCAAGAGGACATCCCTTCTCCCGAGGATTCCTGGCATACGCACAAGATCGCCATAGTCCTCTCGAAAGAGTCGATGCATTTTCTGAATATTGGCATTGTGGTACCGACCTGTAAATGGTGAGAAATTCTTTATTCGATAGTGGAACTATTACAGAGAGTTCTGAAGAGCAGGAAATATCTGAAATATCTATCTTAAGAACTTCTTTTCGTCAGATTCTAGCATCAAAGAGCCTGAAATAAAAATAAGCAAAGCCCGTGCTGGCAGGAGATTCAATCGGCATAGACCCAAGCAACGGAAACGGACCAGCGATTGGAAACTCGGAACATGGAACTGCAAGTCTCTCAATTTCTTGGGAAGTGCCCGCATTCTTTCCGATTTATTTAGGGTCCGCAAGTTCGACATCGTAGCGGGTGCTGGTTTGCTGGAAGGGATCTTCGGTACATATGTATAGGGATGATTATACCATCTACCAGAGCTGCGGCAATACACATGAGCTGGGTACAGCTTTCATCGTGATGGGCGAAATGCAGAAGCGCGTGATTGGGTGGTGGCCAATCGATAGCAGAATGTGCAAGTTGATGATCAAAGGTCGTTTCTTCAATGTCAGCATAATCAACGTGCACAACTCTCACTTAGCAAGTGACGATGACGATAAAGACGCTTTTTACGCACAGCTGGAACGGAAATACCAGCTGCCCAAGCCATGACGTCAAAATCGTCATCGGTGATCTTAACGCTCAGGTCGGCCTGAAGGAGGAATTTAGACCGGTTATAGGAAAGTTCAGCGCTCACCAGCTAACAAACGCCAACGGCCTTAGACTCATCGATTTCGCCGCCTCTAAGAACATGGCCATACGTAGTACCTACTTCCAGCATAGCCTCCCATATCGGTACACCTGGAGATCACCGCAACAGACAGAATCGCAAATCGACCACGTTTTGATCGACGGAAGGCATTTCTCGGACATTATCGACGTCAGGACTTATCGCGGCGCAACTATCGTTCCACTACCTTCTAATGGTCAAGATGCGCCAAAAACTGTCCGTTGCCAACAAAATTCGGTACCGACGTCCACCACGGTACAATCTGGAGCGACTGAAGCTGCCCGAAGTCGCAACTGAGTACGTACAATGCCTCGACGCAGCGTTGCCTGATGAGGGAGAGCTCACCAAAGCCCCTCTTGAGGACTGCTGGAGCAACGTGAAAGCAGCCATTAACAGCGCTGCTGAAGGCGCCGTTGGGTTCGTGGAGCGGAATCGACGGAACGATTGGTTCGACGAAGAGTGTCAAACGGTTTTGGACGAGAAGAACGCAGTGCGGGCGGCCATGCTGCAGCAAGGAACCCGTCATAATGTGGAGCGATATAAACAGAAGCAAACCCATCTTTTCCTGGATAAGAAGCGCCGCCTGGAAGAGCTGGAGTGCGAAGAAATTGAGCAGCTGTATCGTTCACAAGAAATACGCAAGTTCTACAAGAAACTCAACGCATCCCGCCAAGGCTTTGTGCCGCGAGCCGAAATGTGTCGGGATAAGGAAGAGGGTTTCTTAACGGACGAACGTGAGGTGATTGAAAGGTGGAAGCAGCACTACGATGAACATCTGAACGGCGCAAAGGCGGTGGACCAAGGCGGTAGGAGAAATGGCTTCGCCGGTACAGCGGATGAGGAGGACATGCCAGCTCCCACGATAGGTGAAGTTAAGGATGCTATCCGACAGCTTAAGAACAACAAAGCAGCTGGGAAAGATGCTATCGGAGCGGAACTTATCAAAATGGGCCCGGATAAGTTGGCCACTTGTCTGCACCGACTGATAGTCAGGATCTGGGATACAGAACAGCTACCGGAAGAGTGGAAAGAGGGAGTAATATGCCCAGTATATAAAGAAGACGACAAACTAGAATTTGAGGTCTATCGAGCGATCACTATCCCTAACGCGGCCTACAAAGTTCTTTCCCAGATCATCTTTCGCCATTTATCGCCGCTAGCAAGCAGATTTGTGGGAAGTTATCAAGCCGGTTTTGTGGACGGGCGATCGACAACGGATTAAATCTTTACGTTGCGGCAGATCCTCCAAAAGTGTCGTGAATATCAAGTCCCTACGCACCACCTATTTATCGGTTTCAAGGCCGCTTTTGATACTATTGGCCGTGAAGAGCTATGGAAGATTATGGACGAGAACGGTTTTCTCGTGAAGCTGACCAGACTGATCAGGGCTACGATGGATGGTGTACAGTGCTGCGTGAAGATATCGGGTGCGTTATCGGACTCGTTTTAAACTCGCAAAGGACTTCGACAAGGCGATGGTATTTCCTGCCTCCTGTTCAACATTGCGCTAGAAGGTGTTATGAAACGTGCGGGCTTTAACATGCGGGGCACGATCTTCAATAAATCCAGCAAGTTCATCTGCTTCACTGACGACGTGGACATTGTCGGAAGAACGTTTCAGGCCGTGGCGGAGCAGTACACCAGGCTGAAACGTGAAGCAGAGAAGGTTGGATTAAAGGTGAATACTTCGAAGACCAAGTATCTGTTAGCTGGAGGAACCAAGTGCGATAGGGCTCGCATAGGCAGAAGCGTGACAATCGACGGAGAAGAGTTCGAGGTGAGATGAGTTCGAGGTGGTGGATGAATTTGTGTACCTCGGATCATTGGTGACGTCGAATAACAACTGCAGCAGAGAAATTCGTCGGCGTATTATTGCCGGAAGTCGTGCTTACTACGGACTCCACAAGACCCTGAGGTCGGGTAAACTTTGCCTCCGTACTAAATGTACCATGTACAAGATGCTGATAAGACCGGTAGTTCTATACGGGCACGAGACGTGAACGATGCTCTAGGAGGACCTGCAAGCACTGGGTGTTTTCGAACGACGAGTGCTTAGGAGCATCTTTGGCGGGGTATGTGGGAACGGTGTATGGAGGCGAAAGATGAAACACGAGCTGGCGCAACTCTATGGCCAACCCTGTATCCAGAAAGTTGCGAAAGCTGGACGGGTACGATGGGCGGGCCACGTTTTAAGAATGCCGGACAACAATCCCGCAAAAATGGTGTTTGCCTCGAATCCGGCCGGTACAAGACGAAGAGGAACACAGCGAGCAAGGTAGTTGGAGCAAGTGGAGCAGGATTTTGGAAGTGTGGGACGGTCAAGAAATTGGAGACAAGCAGCCACGGACCGAGTGAATTGGCGTAACATTGTGATGCAGGTGCAATCCTGAGGGATGTCAGACCAGGATAAGTAAGTAAGTACCAATTTGTTCTGACAAGCCATTGCTTCTTGGAAAGTGGGGACTAGAGGTTACGTGATCAAAAGATGATTGAGTGCTGATGTTTACAAATTCTCTTGAGGAGTACTGTGGACCGTTATTTGTATAAAGGATTCGGAGAATTCCGTGCCAAGCAAACCATCGTTTGTGAAACTTGATTACAGACCTATTTGATGTATCCTCGAGCCGTTCAAAATCAAAATATCCTGAATAGCTGTCAGCAATCAAAATATAATCCTCTTCGTGAAAGTGGAATAGATCAGATCCGAAGATTTCGATGGACAAGGGCATTTTCATACAAAACAGACTTCCACCATTTGCTTTATTTCCGCGGCCATTCCTACCCCATCCCTGCTAAGAATGTCCGCCAGTGGAATTTCCTTTCCCTTTTTGTATTGAATCTTCAGACCGTATTGGATGACATCTAGCAGAATTCTTTTGAGGCGGGAAAGGGCCATATCCAACGACTTTTATTAAATCGACTCTAGTGGTTTATGATCAGTTTCTATGATCAGGTTTTTAACATAAACATACTCATGGAACCATTTGCATGCAAAGCGAATTGCGCCAGCTTCCTTTTAGATTTGTGGATAATTCTCTTGAGCCGTTGTGAGGGATTTAGACGCTACTGGTGCACCTTTTTGCAACATTTCTGCACCAAAGGCTTTAGAACTTGCATCCATGCTTGGCATACACAGTTTTGGTCACGAACTGCTCATTTGCTAATAACTTTGCACACAGTTGACGAAACATAGTGCTTTTTAAAGCAGTAGATAGAATAGAGTTTAAACTTTTTATAGATACGTGAAAAAAGGTAGATGTTAATTCTATTAATAAACTGTATTTGTTTATGCATTGTAAAAATGAAGTGAGAAATGCTCGCTGAACAGCTTGAACTTTAAGTGTATAAATTCATTGGTGTTCATTCAAATGTTAAGATTTACCTACTCTTTTCATATCAATCATCCTAATCTATCAATCTAAAAAAAGTTATTAACAAATGAGCAGTTGGTGTGTACAACTATGCATGCCAAGCATGCTTGCATCTACTGAGAGACTAACCGCTTCATTAACATAAAAACTCAAAACAGGAAGTGACGTCATCAGATGTTTTATTTTCAAAAAGACATCCTCCTGTTCTCGATCCGAGAACCATTCAACATTCTTGATCAACAGTTTTTTCAGAGGATCACTTACAGCGGAGAGATTTTCTATGAATTTACCCACGTACTTGACTGTTGTAATTCCAATCTCTTAGTCGATTGTTTCATAGTTTATTTTCGATAGGTATCAATATGAACTCCGCTGTATCAGAAAACATTCATCGCAAAAAATGAACAAAGCAGTTCGTAATCAACTGCTCTGTCAGATGAAAAAGTTGTTTGAAACTCAAAATACAGATGAAGACGAGTCAAAATGTGACATCACTGGCTGTGCGGTTGTTCATTTTCCAAATAAACGATTCACCACACAACAACGCTACAAACACAGCTTCATTGTCAAAAACCTTCTACAGTAGCAAGCATTCATAAGCGACGCTGCCACTCAACTATCCATCTCAACATAAGCACACCTATGAATCACTCGGGCGAACTATGTAGTAGTAACACAACTGCTGAATATTTCAACCACTACCGTTACCCATCCGCACAGAGCTACACAACACAACACGCTCAACGCGTGTGACCTTGCTCATCAAAAATGCCCAAACTCACCTCCCGGAGCAAAATCCTTCACCATCTTCAACACACTCGGACCGGGCACCTTACTGTATGGCAGCGCACTGTCCCATTCCGGCTCTCTACCGTCAGCTGTAGCAACTGGCTGAGGCTGGACCTGCGTGCTGCGGAACCGAACGGAACTGGCTCTGACCGCTGGATATCCACCAACGGAGCTCACTTTCACTACGTTCCGCAACATGATGGATCCTAAATTAACTTGTAGCTCCGAAAAGAGGTCACTCGCGAATGAAGAAATCACCTTTGAACGCAAAACTGTGACTTCAGTTATCAACCGAAACCAAACTGATACGATATCACGGTAATACTGCGAGATATGTGGATGACAATGACACTCTGCGCAAAACTACGACAACGACACAGGATGGTGTGAAGATCGCGAACATACAACCTGTCGTCATTAAATTTTATTTATTTGGATGATTTTGTTTGCCGGTTCGCGTTTTCTTGGCGCGAAGGTGTTTGTGAGATCCGCGGAATATTATTCTCTGTTTACATTCAGTGAGCAATTAGATTGACCTTGGAATCAGCTGGTTGTAAGTCGTATTGATGTGGCTGGGGCGAATTTTAATCGAACCTACGGTAGTAGCATAATCGGCATCAATGGCTGCAGACCGAAAGTTTCTCTCTAACGCAGGCCTGCCCAACCTTTCCAAACTTTTAATGATGAAAATAAGTGGGCCAACAATTAACGAGGAAGAGATTTCCTACCTGTATTCATTGATTTCGGTATTTGTGATATTCTCAAAATAACAAGAGTTAGTAAGCGAGAAAAGCCCCGTTGTTCCATATACAATATCAAAACAGATATTTCTAACCACTTCAAATTCGCAATAATTTCCATTCTCATTCATAATACACGAATCATAACACGAGTATTCATCTCAGTATTGAATTCCCTAGTTCTTTGATTGTCTACCACCATACATCTACACATCTGCTGTCCATGCATGATCCATAATCATACATGTCAATCAAGACTCAAGCGAACTAGTATGATGTATAAGTAGGTGGTAGTTAAACTGATGCAAAATTTGAAATTTTCGCTCCACAGTGCTTAAACGATTCCAAATTAGGTCCTGTTTAGCCTCCCAAAATTTGAACTACATTAGTAAGAAACTGACTTGGCACAAACCATTTCAAGTTTATATGGGAATTACTATGGGAAAACTTATGTTTTTGCTCATATATATCTAACAATTCATCACATCACTATGCTTTTAAAAATGATAGCTGTGATTGTTGAAAATTTTCTCAGCTATAACTTTGTTGAAAACTACTTTTCAATCAAATGTAAGGAACAAAAGTTATTAATGATTCAAGTCACTGATGTCTTATGATTATGCTCATTCAACTGTTCAGCAGGCAACATTGGTGTTTCTGGTGCGAAGAATAGAGCACAAATATCATGGCTACTATGTCACACTGCAGAATACAGTGTTGCCCACAGAACAGCTGCTTGATCATGCCATAAGATTATCAATCTCTTAAACAATTAATAACATTTTAATTTGACATTTGGCTGAAAAACAGTATTGTGCAAAGTTGTAGCTAAGAAAATTTCCCGTAAGAATAGTTTTAGAAATTTTCGAAAAAGCAATATGGAAAATGGATAGAAGACAATGAACAAAAAGTTTGGTTTTCCCATAGTAATTTCCATACAAACTTCGAATAGTTTGTGCCAAGTCAGTTTCTTACCAAATGAGTTTAAATTTTGGGAGGCTAATCATGACCTGATTTGAAACCGTTTGAGCACTGTGGAGCAAAAATTTCAATTTTTGCATCAGTCTAGTGGTAGTGCTAGCACAAATTGCCAAAAATTTCAACCACCATCGGCTACGTCATGCATTCGCACACATTCCCACAGTGCAACGAGTAGACTATACGGCCCGTGACATTGATAAAAAAAACTGCTAGGGCCGGGGATCTTGTTTTACGTCAGGGTACTATCGCATTTCGGATCCCTACCCTCAACAAAGCCCAACGGTTGACTCTGATCTTGAGAATAGCTGAGCTGAATCGTCCGAAAATGAGATCCCAAATTAATCAGCGAAAATGAAAGTTGATGTCCCATTCCATCGACTATGGAGCATTTGCAGTCCAAAACGGGTTGGACATGAGTGTTTCCGATTTGAACGAAACAATACTCATATGTTTGCTGCTACCAATAAGAATTACATTATTTTTCAATTATTTATGATTTATTTTTTCTCCAGAGTAAGTTTTGAAAAAGGCATATTCAAACAAAGGATTATATTTTTTCTGACCAAAATGGCATTTGAGAAAATGTTGTAGGTAATTAAATGTCCTTCGAGAAAAAATACACTGAAAGAAAAAAACACAGTAAATTCAAAGCAATAAAAATTTGATTTGACGGATTTTGTTATTTGGTGTTTAGCTTTAACTTTTTTTGTAAAGCAAGCTGAAGTGCTGCCCTAAAATTGGGTGAAGAGTATTAGCTTAAAAAAATTCAATAGATTTTGAAACTTTAATTGATTTTTTTTTTAATTTAACGGAATTGCATATAAATAATAATTTATTTAAATTTTAAGCATAATTTTCGATAAATTTATGCATAAAATATTTTTTTCTAAGTCCTCCCGTTCTCAAGAAAATGTAAAATTAAAAAATAATATTTATGAATTTTCTAAATTGTAGACCATTTTCAAATGTAAGTCGCCATGTCCAGCAACAAAATGTGAATTCAATGATTGTATATTCAATAACAAACAATTCATTCTCAAATATGGTGGCTATCAGACTTGCCTGTTTCTATCAAAACGCAGCGGAAGACCATATTTTAGAACATTACTTCAGCACTCTTTACAAAAAAAAAACATAAATTCGAAGGGAAGGTAGTTTGAGAAAATCAACGTTTTATGTTTTTTACTATGAATTTACTGAGTTTTTTTCTTTCAGTGTATTTTTAACGTAGAACTACATCATTGTGGACTACACCGGGACCAATCGATAGGAAGTAACTCTACAAATCTACAAATAAATACTTTTCCAATTTTCCATAAACAGCTTTTGAAAAATGTATAAATGATAATTTTATCACTGTTTGCATTAAAAACAGTTAAGATTTTAAAAGAAAATAAAAATTAAAAAATGCCGGGGCCACCCTAATGACGAAATAAAAAATATACTGGTCAATTATTTTTCGATACGGAACAAAATAACCAATTTTTACGAAATGCTAAGATCTAAGATTCCATCCTTTTTTCCATGGTTTCATGCAGCATAGATACTATGAGTTAACATGGCTTTAGTTCTTGTTGTTGTTGTTGTTGTTGTTGTTGTTGTTGTTGTTGTTGTTGTTGTTGTTGTTGTTGTTGTTGTTGTTGTTGTTGTTGTTGTTGTTGTTGTTGTTGTTGTTGTTGTTGTTGTTGTTGTTGTTGTTGTTGTTGTTGTTGTTGTTGTTGTTGTTGTTGTTGTTGTTGTTGTTGTTGTTGTTGTTGTTGTTGTTGTTGTTGTTGTTGTTGTTGTTGTTGTTGTTGTTGTTGTTGTTGTTGTTGTTGTTGTTGTTGTTGTTGTTGTTGTTGTTGTTGTTGTTGTTGTTGTTGTTGTTGTTGTTGTTGTTGTTGTTGTTGTTGTTGTTGTTGTTGTTGTTGTTGTTGTTGTTGTTGTTGTTGTTGTTGTTGTTGTTGTTGTTGTTGTTGTTGTTGTTGTTGTTGTTGTTGTTGTTGTTGTTGTTGTTGTTGTTGTTGTTGTTGTTGTTGTTGTTGTTGTTGTTGTTGTTGTTGTTGTTGTTGTTGTTGTTGTTGTTGTTGTTGTTGTTGTTGTTGTTGTTGTTGTTGTTGTTGTTGTTGTTGTTGTTGTTGTTGTTGTTGTTGTTGTTGTTGTTGTTGTTGTTGTTGTTGTTGTTGTTGTTGTTGTTGTTGTTGTTGTTGTTGTTGTTGTTGTTGTTGTTGTTGTTGTTGTTGTTGTTGTTGTTGTTGTTGTTGTTGTTGTTGTTGTTGTTGTTGTTGTTGTTGTTGTTGTTGTTGTTGTTGTTGTTGTTGTTGTTGTTGTTGTTGTTGTTGTTGTTGTTGTTGTTGTTGTTGTTGTTGTTGTTGTTGTTGTTGTTGTTGTTGTTGTTGTTGTTGTTGTTGTTGTTGTTGTTGTTGTTGTTGTTGTTGTTGTTGTTGTTGTTGTTGTTGTTGTTGTTGTTGTTGTTGTTGTTGTTGTTGTTGTTGTTGTTGTTGTTGTTGTTGTTGTTGTTGTTGTTGTTGTTGTTGTTGTTGTTGTTGTTGTTGTTGTTGTTGTTGTTGTTGTTGTTGTTGTTGTTGTTGTTGTTGTTGTTGTTGTTGTTGTTGTTGTTGTTGTTGTTGTTGTTGTTGTTGTTGTTGTTGTTGTTGTTGTTGTTGTTGTTGTTGTTGTTGTTGTTGTTGTTGTTGTTGTTGTTGTTGTTGTTGTTGTTGTTGTTGTTGTTGTTGTTGTTGTTGTTGTTGTTGTTGTTGTTGTTGTTGTTGTTGTTGTTGTTGTTGTTGTTGTTGTTGTTGTTGTTGTTGTTGTTGTTGTTGTTGTTGTTGTTGTTGTTGTTGTTGTTGTTGTTGTTGTTGTTGTTGTTGTTGTTGTTGTTGTTGTTGTTGTTGTTGTTGTTGTTGTTGTTGTTGTTGTTGTTGTTGTTGTTGTTGTTGTTGTTGTTGTTGTTGTTGTTGTTGTTGTTGTTGTTGTTGTTGTTGTTGTTGTTGTTGTTGTTGTTGTTGTTGTTGTTGTTGTTGTTGTTGTTGTTGTTGTTGTTGTTGTTGTTGTTGTTGTTGTTGTTGTTGTTGTTGTTGTTGTTGTTGTTGTTGTTGTTGTTGTTGTTGTTCAGATTTAGCAATATTGTTTCCAATGAAAATAAATTTATGATCGTAAGACTGCTCCATTTTTATTTGTGTTGAGCGTAAAATCTCCTTTTTATTTATTTTCTTTTGAAAACTCGTCAATTTTACTATCACGCCGTTATTAAAATTCCCTGCACATGTATGATGAAAACAATTCGCCCAATACTATGCGCCTTTGTTTTGATTTCCTTAAAAGTGTCGCCCTTCACTTTTCGCCGTGTTAACGTTTCAACTAAAGATGAGCCTTTTACTATTTTCGCTTTTGTTGATAAGCAACATTGAGTTCACTCCTTCATTGAAATGTTTCAAAATTGCGCCCTATACTATAGTAAACAAAGGAAAGAGCGAAATCCATTTTTAAGCTTGTTTAGAAATAAATTTTGTTTCGGCTTTCGCTTTGCACGGATTTTTCGATAGTGGAACAT